ATCGACGTTGTAAAATTCCTTCCCCATATCCGTTTGTAAATTTTTCGGACATCTTCCACTCGCACGAATTATCTCAGATGCGCGATAACATTAACCGTCTCGCTTCTGCCCTTGTTCTTGAGTACGACCAATACTGCCCTCGCGTACTTGCTCAACACATCGATGATGGTGAATATGTAGCCTCTGTTGAAGCCTGAGTACAGACGCATCTCGACGATATCAGTTTGCCACAGATCGTCGTATCCTCGAACTATGACGCGCCTTCGGGGAAAATTTCTTTTCGTCGGAGTATGCAATTCCTCGACGAGTTGACGTCTCTCGGAGCTAATTTTTTTCTTTTCGCTGAATTTCTTTTTCATGATTCAACGCGTAATACACAGAGCAAAAAAATTTTTTTTTTCTCACTGACATCACTCGACTGACTCGTTTCGTCTATACGCGATTTAATTTATAATAAGATCAGCTTCGCGAAGTTCCTCGATGATCTACAATATCTCGTTGTCGTGAGCGTTGTTGCCCACTCGGTGCGAAGCGTCAAGCAATCGCAGACGATCCACCGGTTTGTTGGGATCATCTCAATGCACGTAATCAATCGCGTTGTTCAATATCATGAGGTAATCCCTTTCCAGATTTCTTCTTCTGTTTCTTGGGTGTGATCGCCATTAACGGCGCGATTACATTATTTGTACTTGTATCCCTTATTGCTCAATAATCGGCCCTGCGATTGCTTGTGTTTGTGCGCATTCGTCGCCAGCAGCATGCTCTTGTACTTATCGTCTTCCGTGTAAAGGAGATCCTCGGGAATTCTCTTGGAAATCAACTCGTAAAAACCAGGTGTATCGACCAGGTGTACCGTACACCATCGATAATTATGTTGTTCGCATCATAAACATCGAAACGTTTATTGCCAAACATCAATCCATCCTTGTGTAGGTAAACACCATATATATAATCTACATCGCTCTTCTGTTTATCTCACGTTCTCCTCAGGACAGTCTCAACGTACTTTTGACCCAGAGGACCCAAGCCAGCTCGTAATGCATATCGACCTTCCGATGTTTACAACCGATTTTGAACCTTCGTCGCTAGCGAGTCTTCCGTCGTTCCGAAAACATTGTCCAACCACTCTATCGATACGATTTTGCTACGCGGTGTGGAGGTTATCGGCTATACGATCGTGCAATCGATCACCGAATTTACGCGGGATCGCGAAACGCTGGAACATCTCGCTTGCTTTCTCTCCCTCCTCCTCCTCCTTCTCCTCCTTTCACGCTTGGAGGCAGATGCTGCATTATCGTTGCGCGACTGTCTCTTTATCGCGCGCACGGGACTGTGCATCAACATTCTGCTGCAGAGGTTTGATAATAGGTTTAAAATGCCTGTCCAATACCATGTCTTCCTCGACTCTATCGGTCTTTAGAGCGCGATGTTTCTTGCGGATCGACTCGCTCGTCTCCTCAATCTCCCTCGCAATTTTTTTCACGCGCGCGCACATCAGCCATGTTCGTCTCTGACGAAGTATCGACAACGATTACAGTCATGTTACAGTATCGCGAATTCGTTAAATCTCTTTCTGTATCTCCCGTCTTTAAGCGCACTGTCTTTGTCTATCACTAAAAATCCATATTTTTTTTGCCAATAGTCGCGACACAACAAACAAAATTCATCATACGACATGTCGATATTCACATGATCGTTGTAAACGTGTTCAAGTTGATACAATCCTGTTTAAACAGGATCAACAGGTTCGTGTTGTCGCGGATCAGATGTTTAGGTATTCTCGCGTACGTCTGACAGAGATAGAAGTAGTCAACGTTCGCATGATGGCCCATCGAAAAGTATTCTCTCACCGCATCTTGCTTGTCGCATGCTACGTCATCAAAAATAAAAATAGAATTTTTCCGAGGGCGCTTCGGTGAAACGACATCGCTGTTAGAAAACGTAAAGTAGCCGATTTCATCGATAGACTTAAATAAATTTTCGAGATATCGATATTTTGGCTGTTGCAGCGATTTCGAGCAGACGTATTCTCGAAACGTGCGCCGTTTGGACTCTCGAGCAAGCTTATGAAAACATTGGTTTTACCACAATTCGACGGGCCGTAAATGATCGCGCGTATAGTACTCGGCAGCATTTCGCTGTGCTTGCGCTTTTCCACGCTGCCTTCCATCATTCGCGATTTCGCGTCACAATTTGTGACGTGTATCGTTAGTGGTTGCAGCACGAATTTCATGCTCACACTAAAGACTGTGAGTTCTCGAATGACTATTTAAAGGTGCGCGAATCCAATCGCGTAGCAAAATGTATCTCGCGCTGTGTCATCCTTCCGATATTCGAAACTTGAGTGTCGAGCAACTGCAATATATACCAAAGTCATACTCTTACGCATGTATGGCGACTACATCGAACACGTCTGCTTCAGACAAGCTTCCGGAACACGAGAAGGCAGATTCGGAGGTTCGAACCTATCGTCACTGCGACGAGCACTACAATCAATCGTGGCAGCGGGCGCACATCGTCGGCCCTGCACCGAAGATAAAATACTGTAACGAATGTCAGCGTCGCGCAGCGGTCTGCTGAATCGAGCGATAAACGCGCTTCCTTTCGAGTTACATATTCCGGGCTACCAGTTTTGCGGCTCGGGCACTCGGCTTACGAAGCGACTAGCCAGAGATGACGAGGGCATAAATCCGCTGGACACGGCGTGCCGAGAACACGACATTGTGTATTCTCAGAGCAACGATCTCACCGATAGACACGCGGACAAGGTATTCGCCGATAAAGTACGCTAGGATGCGTCGTCGCGAGAGATTCAGCACTGAGCGAGAGAGCAGCCGCAGCTGCCATCTGGGCAGCGATGAAAGCCAAGATCAAGAACGGCATAGGCATGAAACCGAAGAAGAAGATGACGACGAAAAAACGGATACTTCCAGCGAAACGAGGTGGTGCATTACCGTATCTGCCAATGTTAGGCGCGCTAGGATCCTTGATTGGCGGAGTGGCCAGCGTGGCAAAAGCGGTAAATGAAGCAAAGCTGCGTGACGGTTCGAAGAGCCGCAACGTCATGATCGCGCGATGGAGCAGGGTCGCGGACTGTATCTCGGCCCGTACAAACATGGACAGGGTGTAGCTGCAAAGAAAAAAAAAACGTCGAAAAGACGATAAAAATGCCGACTGGCGTAACTACCAATGTGCAATTGAACGAGCTCGCGAGACATATGCGCGTACCATACTTTAGAGGCATTTTCATGCGTAACACGTGACCAACGAGCGGCGCGCACCGAAACGAAATTTCGATATCGTGAATCTGGACAATGCAACAAGGCATGATATTCAATGGGTAACGTACGTGGAGAGGAACAACCGCGTCATGTATTTTGACAGTTTCGGTAATTTTCGACCGCCCAAGGAACTGGTGCGATATGTCGGGAACGATGCTATGATGATAGAGTACAATCGCACGTCTTATCAGATGTACGATCAGAGCTTCTGTGGACAGATGTGTTTGCGGTTTCTACAAATTGTAGACGCACGTGAATTTAAAAAACTCGACGAGATGCTGTGAAATCTTAGTATTAGTCGAACGCTTTTTCCGTCATGTCGTTGATTCTTACGCTGAGCGGGAAAAGCACCGATCTCGCGGCTTTCCCATAGATTAAATGAGTGATGGAGATTACGAGCTCGGTCTGACGATTTTTGAGACTTATCACTCGATACCAAATGTGAATGAACAATAAATTTTATTTCGCCAGAAAGACGATGCGGAAATTACAATTCCCGAAGATTCATATGAAGTGCGAGACATAAATGAATTTTTGAAACACGCTATTTTATGGAAACATCCACACCGCGACGCGCTTGAAACCGTTGACGTAGTGCATGATGACAACAACAACAATAATAACAATGATACCGATGACGAACAATGAAGGTAGAGAATACCTGATTACGCTCCACGCAAACTACACGATGAGATGCGAGATTAGATGTGCATACAGAAACATTGGCAAGCCCAACAGCATTGGATCGTTGCTGGGATTCTCATCGAAGCGTGCGGCCGCGAAGATGGCACGAATCGGACGTGTCGATCAACATAATGAATGTAAACGTTATCAGCGTGTAACGTGACCGCGGGCGTGTACAGCAACGGCAAAAACGCGCACACGATACACGAATTTTCGCCGAGCGTGCCTTCAGGATATGAGATATCGGAGAGATTGGCGCAGATCGTTTACTTGCCGATCATCGCACGGAGCATTACGGATCTAACGATACGCATCGTCGATTAGAACGAATGATTGCTCGATTTTCGAGGAGAAGAGATCATCGTTAGATTGCACATACGACGGGAATAGTGATAACGTGAGCGTGAGATACTCGTGCTGAACGGAATGAAGCGTACGCAGAAAGATAACACATTTTTTACAGAGCCAGTGACGATAACACTCGCACATCCAACTGCATCAGAAGAAGAAGAACAAGAAGAAGAAGCTCAGCGTGTCAAATTACATTTTTAAAATCTTTGGGATTCGCGGTGCGCAACATTTGAGATGACTGATATCCTAACATTAAAGACGAGACAATTTTCGATCGCATCGTCAAGATTAAGACTCACACGGACAGTTCGCCAACACAACGTTCGGGTACAGCGATGAAATAAGAAAACCCACACAGCAACAGGATCTGTACACACTACTGCCGTACGAAAGCTTTCTGTACGTCGAAGGAAAACTGACGAAGAATAAAGTGATCCAGAGTGCTCACATGACATTGGCAAATAATTGCGTAGCATTCATATTCGATGAGATTCGATATGAACTCGGTGTGGAGATTGATCGTAACAGAAACGTGGGCATAACTAGCATACTCAAAAATTATGTAACAGTGTCATCCGACAGAAGTGTGATTCTGCGAAATGTCGGCTGAGATGCGCAGATTACTGCGGCCGAATATTTTAATTTCTGTGTACCGCTCTATTGCTGGGATTTTGCGAAGACGTGATGATCTTCACTCGTCACGAATTGATTTTAATACGAGCGCGCAACGACAATTGTCTGACAGGAAATCCGGCGACAGAATCAACGCTCGAATTATTTAAAGTACAATGGCGAATGCCGCACGTGTTATTGAGCGAGATAAATAAACTGTCGATGCTACGCGCTTTGGAAAGCAAACGATATCTGAGCATGGCTTCTCGTTCTGTACGAGTTTCCGCTCTTGCAGAGCACAAAACATTCGTGGGCCATCAAGAGGCTACTCAGCTCGAGAAGCCGCGCTACGTCATTTTCGCTATGCAAATAGGTCGAAAAAACGTCATGTCTGAAGATATAAGTCGTTTCGATGATTGCAAATTAACCAATGCGAAACTCTACCTGAATTCGGAATATTATCCGTATGATGACTTGAATCTGGATTTTGATAAAAACAGATGTGTGATTCTGTACGACTTGTACGCGCGTTTCTGCAAGGGCTACTACGGATACGAGTGTCTCGAGCCGAGTCTCATCTTTACGACTTTTTTACGTAATGGCCCGTTCGTAATCATCGATTGCTCTCGACAGAACGAATCGATCAAGATTGGCACCGTGGACGTACAATCAGACTTTGAATGTAAGGAGAACGTGCCCGCAAATACAACAGCCTGTCATCATACACGATCGCGTGGTTCAGTATAATCCGTTGTGCGCAAAATCACCTAAGCGCACTCCCAACTTCCACTTCGCATTCGACCGCAATCGATCGCAATCTCCTCAACAACATGCTCGTGTCAACGTTCGTGAATATGCAAGGATTCATGTGACATCAAAGTAGTCAATTTTTTGTTTAACGATAATCATCAATGTATACAATTCACCATTAAAAATTTCACAATAGTTGTCAAAATAGTTGATACACAAAGATATATATATATTGGGATACAAATTAGTTCAGTCCGTTCAAAAATACATTTATTTTAAAACAAAATGAATGAACAGATCAATTACTGTCCATCCCTGCCTACTACTTTTTCCCATCTCAAGATGGGAGAAAGTAGTGGCCAGCGATGAATACGTTCATACATATTGTACATATATGTTCATACATATGCATTCATATATACATACATTCATATAACATACATATATATTAGGTGTACAACTTTGCTTCCGCCGTTTTTTTCCGATATTCGAGGCTTTATTGTAAAAAACTAGTTATACATTTATGATTCAAAAAGTATTGTCCATCGCTGGCCACTACTTTCTCCCATCTTTCGGGTAGCGTATGAATCCCGCGTCGATAAAACTGGTCATCTTTTGAGGCTATTCACGAATCGATCCAATTTTTTACTTCTTCATAAGACCGGAAGTGCTGACCGGTCAGCCAGGCCGTGTGCCATTGATCGAAACAAATGATAGTCAGAGGGAGCAACGTCTGGAGAATACGGCGGGTGAGGTAGGACTTCCCATTTCAACATTTCCAAGTATATCTTGACCACTTTCACAATATGGGGTCGAGCATTGTCATGCTGCAAAATCACTTTATCGTGTCTCGTTGTATTGCGGCCGTTTGTCTTTCAATACTCGGCTCAAACACATCAATTGCGTTCGATACCGATCGCCTGTGATAGTTTCAGTCGGTTTTAACAGTTCATAATATACTACGCCGAGCTGGTCCCACCAAATACAGAGCATGACCTTCGACGTCAAAATCACGTTCTTGAAGCGTTGAAACCACTCACGACACGTTCTAATAGCGGCCTCACCATAAGTATTTGAGAGCATTCGATGAGCCTCAGCCGCAGATTTCTTCATATTGAAGCAAAAAATTCCTCCCGCAAATGACGAGAATTTGGCTCGTAAACTGACATTTTCAATCGAGAATAACTTCATGATGCAGACACAAATCGACTAATGTTTCTATGGGTTTATGTTGACAGATGCCCAAGTTTTTTGTATGACGCCTATGATCTATTTATTTCGACCACTACTTATCGCTAAAGCCATCTATAGGAAAACGGCGGAAGCAAAGTTGTACAGCTAATAGATGCTGCGGATATTCGAGATCGACCTCGAGAATATAACCGGTGGATGAATCCGGAGCGATCGCGTTCACATCGAAGTTCGCATTGTCTTCGATCCATTGAAATTCGGCATATTGCAAAGGTTGACACATCCGTACGAATTATTCACATCGTAGTACATCAAGTACGACGACGGTTTCGATAGATCGAACGAACGTATGTACTTGTTATTAGCCTGTGCGTATCTGCTGGCACATTGACTGAGACCGCCGCGTATACCGCGCTCGATGAACATGATCATATCAATGTCGGTAAGCAACTCGAATCTTATATGTGTATGTTTCAGCATGGCATCCCACGTGAAACCTGGTAATGTATAATAATGCGCGGGATCGAGACAGTAACTCGCGATGTAACTATTGCGGAAATTTTCGAAAATGTCGGCTAATAACAAGACATCAGTTTTCAAATACAAATCACTGTACTCGCCGAGCGTTCGGATAGAGAATCGCTGCCATACGTTCACAGCATGAGTGTAATCGCTCTCGGATACCGTATCGCCTGTCAATGAACTGAAAATTGGATACGATATTTTTCACAATGTGCCAAATCGTTGAGTTGTTGCGCGAACCAGATTATACAGCCTTCATCGCGACGGAAGTAATACGACGATAATGTGTCGTCATACGTAATAGCCTATGCTAAACGCTTCATGTCGCTGATATGCGTATACGACGACGCATTTTTTTTGTCGAATTCTGTCTTACGTAGGACTCATTCCAGGTCGGCGTAGAAGTAGACGATGAACGGTACTTGTTCCCGGTTGCTGTAGTTGTCAAATTCGAGCTACTTGTCGTCCTCGGCAGTCGAATAGCGCAGTCGTTGATCTTCTGGCAGTCCACTTCGTGCAATTGCAATTTTTCGCACGAACTGAAATAATAGAGACACCTGTAAATAATAGAGAAATCACTTTTCATTATTTCTTTTTTTACTGTTTTTTTTTTATTGGCTTTTCTTATTATACTTACCGATCGCAGAAAAATTTCTTGTTTTTTTTCCCACTAATCTGCGAGCTCATGAGACGCGATAGACTTTTTACACACGCAAAGTGGCCAAGGTTATCGTTGTGTGAATCTTGTAGATACAGAAGAATGACGTGCGTCTCCTTCTTGTTATCGGTGAACCGCAGAGGAACGACTTGTTTATTCTCAATGCCGTACACCGGTTGATCGACATCGATTCAACCGTTCGAATTTAGAAATGTCTTTTAAAGTCATTGGAAACTCATTGTTTGTGAGATTCAATACTGTCGTATAATGCGGATAAGACGATTCCCGCTTCGTATACTTTTCAGTTGGGTACAGAGCGGTGACCACTGACCACGCGAAGTATGCATTGTCCGTCGTATCAACACTGATTATCGCTCATTTCGTCGCTATTTCTCGTGACACTTCGATGTGACATCCCGCGCGTAGGGGATTTAGTTTGTTCACATTGATAGTCAAATTCAATATATGTGATAATGCCCACCCGCTGTCGCAGTTCCTGGAACTCTTCGAGCGATGCTAGGATAGGTTCGATGACGTGCTGCTCGTACCACGCGCAAATCGGTGTATCGGTATATCTCGCTTCTTTGTAACTATGCTCTTATTAGCACGTTTATCCTTCGTCGCGAACTCATCTTTGAACGCGGTGTTCACTTTTACATTACCGTGTCTTTCTACAGCGTCTCGCACTCGTTCTAGAGCATTTTCAGCGTCTTTTAAAAACCGTCGCGGCTCGATGTGATTAAAGTTTATCACCGTATCTGTCAATATATGACTCTCGAATGCGGCTCGATCTTTCGCCAGACAAGAGATCGTTCGTTGCTACTCGCGTACTCGCCACCAATGTGCACGAAACGTCGCTCCAATTGCGATTTTGCACCTGCGAGTCGCACGATCCTCGCCACCGAATTGTCTCTGTCCAACGGCGAGGTGCGGACGCTTGGCATGACAAAGTTCTTCGAGTTGCTCGATGCACTCGTCACATCGTTGCAGCCACGCGAAACACTCTACCAGATAACGATCTGGCCGCACTGCTCCAACAGTTCGCGTTCCACTCGCTCATGATTTTTCATGTCTTTTCACAGTTTTTAGATCACGTCGCACTCTTCCACGGAGCACTTGCACGTAACTCGTTCACACACGTTGCAACATCGTGACATATCTAGAATATCATAACATTCTAACTCCTTTTCATTATGTTTGTTTGCGAAAGTGTACTGTTCGCACTCAAAGCATTGTTCGTCGCATCTATTGAAAAACAGTTTTAGCAAGATCGCGATCACGAAACTTCATATATTGTCAATAATCAGCAGTTCCACACATTTTTCATTACCCGCGGGAATCTTAATGCACATGCATCAATCTTGGCTCTTATTTGCGATTTTCTTCGCCCAATAATAATCGTCCTTATTACATTTCTATTCCACCAATGTTTCTTTTCATACTTATCGTCCTCGTAACATTTGTCTCGTAACCGTGAGTACACTTTCTGTCGCGCGAGTAAACACCAGTCAGAAACAGTCTCTTTAATAATTATTTCATGTTTTTCATCACGTATACCGAATTCTCGATCGCGTAGGAATTGCATCGGCGATATTCGTACATCTGTGTTTTTTTTGCGGATTATCGAGAACATACAGCACATCATCTACATTATAGTCTTCCCACATATTTTCCAATACTGTTCACAATAGTTCTTTTTTAATGTGCACAGTGAACACATGCTGCACGAGAATACTGTACAAAGGTCCTCTTCAATTCGTTGCCGTCTAGCCTACCGAAAGAATCAGTCTCATGCTCCCTGACGTGATACATTCTTACATCGTTAATGTCAACTATACGAATCATGCATGCTGTGCATACAGTTAAAGCACCACCTGTTGTATAATAATTGTGGATCACACAGTGTTTAATACGAGTGTTCAACGTATGGATTTCCGAAGGCTGTATAAATTTTTCTACGCGATCGATTTCATACTCGCTCATATCACTAGCACATCCACTATCGTCGGATATCATTTCTTCGTCAGATGACTTTTGATCCATTATATTCTCAAAGTCTACTTCCATTTCTTCGAATACTTCGTCTCCAATATTCGCGAACTGTTCCGAATCCACGTTTCTGATATACTCGGCTACGTTAGCTATGTTCTCAACGTTTCTAATATTCGCGACTTTTACATCGTTATGTTCTAAAAATTCTATTTCCATTGCTTCAAATAACTTGGCTGCATTCACACCATCCATGTCCTCAACGTCTGCGCGATAATCAATCATACTTTTCGCATTATACTGCGCATTATATTGCGATACGGTAATCTTTAAAGACGCCAACTGAGATGCCGCGCGCTTATGATCTCATTATATATTCCATTATATATTCCATTTTGTGACTTCTTTGTCGCTTTATCTACCATCCCTATGGGATTGCAGTAGTGACACGACGTGTCACCGATCTCTTCTTAGAAAAAAATATCATTATCGGTGCTTCTCTCTTAACGCATCGCGACGTGTCACCGATCTCACGATTTTTCCTAGATAAATATCTTTATCGATGCTTTTGACCTTGAAAGAAAGAACTGTTAGAACACATCAATGATATGTCACCTAGACAAAACATCTTGTTCGC